TCTCTCTATATATATATATATATATATATATATATATATATATATATATATATATATATATATAATGAGAGCTCTCTCAACCTATACAATGATACTAAGACTAGTATTTATAGGCTAGCTCAACTCAAAAACCCATATCACAAGGGGTAATCCAAGACACCATCCAATGAAGAGATTTGCACCCTAACACCGAGGGCGGAACTGATATTGCTCTCCGATGCCTAAGTTAGAAATCATATTCGGATCATAGATCTTAAATGTATTAGAATCACCAAGGGTTTTTAGGCCTTACCTTTCGAGTTAAGCGAAAGCCTGTTTTTATAGTTGGGGTTCAAACCGGTTCTTGGTTTCTCCTTCTAGGTTTTGCGTTAGTCTTTAGGTCATAAGGGTAAACCCCCTTTTTATTAAAATAGCTCGGTATACATATAAACATGTCAACAAATACATTGGTTTGAATGAACGGTAACATATCGAAATTTTGATCTAATTTTGGATCAATAAATTGTATGAAAATATTTGGCTAGATCAAAAATAAGTGGATCAATTTTTTTTTTGAAATAAAAGCAAATAAATCCAATGGAATCAAAATGATCAAAAACGATTTCAAAAATACGATTCCAAGAGATTTTCATAAATTAATAATTGAAAAGATAAGTGTATAAAAAAAAATTGAAATTAAAAGTAAAAAATCGAATGGAGAGACTCACCAAAAATTTGAATCTTCGAGTCGATTACACACCAAAAATATTGCCATCAAGGATCGTTTATGTTGAAAAGGTTGTTAAACCTTCAAGATTAAGCTCTAATATCACATGTAAGATACCAACGAAGATGAAAAATGTGGAATTGAAGAATTAATGCCTAATCATAAGACCCAAATTAAAGTTTAAGCATAGTTTGTATGGATAATGAGGAAAGTGCAAAAGATGTAGAAGCATGTGTTTGCTTACTACATTACTCTCTCTCTAGAACTACCCTCTCTCTCTCTCTCTATATATATATATATATATATATATATATATATATATATAATGAGAGCTCTCTCAACCTATACAATGATACTAAGACTAGTATTTATAGGCTAGCTCAACTCAAAAACCCATATCACAAGGGGTAATCCAAGACACCATCCAATGAAGAGATTTGCACCCTAACACCGAGGGCGGAACTGATATTGCTCTCCGATGCCTAAGTTAGAAATCATATTCGGATCATAGATCTTAAATGTATTAGAATCACCAAGGGTTTTTAGGCCTTACCTTTCGAGTTAGGCGAAAGCCTGTTTTTATAGTTGGGGTTCAAACCGGTTCTTGGTTTCTCCTTCTAGGTTTTGCGTTAGTCTTTAGGTCATAAGGGTAAACCCCCTTTTTATTAAAATAGCTCGGTATACATATAAACATGTCAACAAATACATTGGTTTGAATGAACGGTAACATATCGAAATTTTGATCTAATTTTGGATCAATAAATTGTATGAAAATATTTGGCTAGATCAAAAATAAGTGGATCAATTTTTTTTTTTGAAATAAAAGCAAATAAATCCAATGGAATCAAAATGATCAAAAACGATTTCAAAAATACGATTCCAAGAGATTTTCATAAATTAATAATTGAAAAGATAAGTGTATCAAAAAAAATTGAAATTAAAAGTAAAAAATCGAATGGAGAGACTCACCAAAAATTTGAATCTTCGAGTCGATTACACACCAAAAATATTGCCATCAAGGATCGTTTATGTTGAAAAGGTTGTTAAACCTTCAAGATTAAGCTCTAATACCACATGTAAGATACCAATGAAGATGAAAAATGTGGAATTGAAGAATTAATGCCTAATCATAAGACCCAAATTAAAGTTTAAGCATAGTTTGTATGGATAATGAGGAAAGTGCAAAAGATGTAGAAGCATGTGTTTGCTTACTACATTACTCTCTCTCTAGAACTACCCTCTCTCTCTCTTTCTCTCTCTCTCTATATATATATATATAATGAGAGCTCTCTCAACCTATACAATGATACTAAGACTAGTATTTATAGGCTAGCTCAACTCAAAAACCCATATCACAAGGGGTAATCCAAGACACCATCCAATGAAGAGATTTGCACCCTAACACCAAGGGCGGAACTGATATTGCTCTCCGATGCCTAAGTTAGAAATCATATTCGGATCATAGATCTTAAATGTATTAGAATCACCAAGGGTTTTTAGGCCTTACCTTTCGAGTTAGGCGAAAGCCTGTTTTTATAGTTGGGGTTCAAACCGGTTCTTGGTTTCTCCTTCTAGGTTTTGCGTTAGTCTTTAGGTCATAAGGGTAAACCCCCTTTTTATTAAAATAGCTCGGTATACATATAAACATGTCAACAAATACACATAAATAATCACACAGCATAAAGATATAAACATTCCTCGGGCCTGTCCGACATCACACCGAATTCCAGAAAATATAAACATTCCTCGGGCCCTGCCCGATATCGGACCAAAATTCGGAACATATAAACATTCCTTAGGCCCCGCCCGACATCGGACCAAAATCCGGAAACATATAAACATTCTTCGGGCATTACCAAGCATCGGACCAGAGTCCGGTAAATATAAGCATTCCTTGGGCATTGACCAGGATCAGACCGAAGTCCAGTAACATACAAAACAGACACATGCAAGAATCACAAAGACATCAAGCATACAAACATTCCTTAGGCACCGGCCGACATCGGATCGGAGATCCGAAAACATATAAACCTACATCGGGAATTTCCCGTCATCAGACCTTAGTCTGAAACATACTAGCATATATATACGGGCCGACATTAGTGCCTTCGACCCATTCATACAGGAGGAAAACTCACCTTGCACTGTTGAAGTCCCACGAATAAATCTCTAGCTGCTGGCTGATAGATCCCCGAAATGTCAACATCAAAACAAAACCCAATTAACAATTTGGGTTTCAATGCATAACCATAAACCCACACTTGGGGTAAAAGGGCCATTTTACCCCTAAACTCGCTTGGTCCAAGACCAAGGCACAACCTTATGCTCTAAAGGCCCAAAAGCTAAATAATCAACCAAGGCCCAATTATGGCCCAATCTTCCAATATGGACCCAAACCCCTCACATAGGCCTTACACTAAAGCACATCCAAATATTCTAGTCCATATATTTGTTCCTGGATGGCCCATCAATAGCCTAATCACCAAAGCCCAACAGAAAGCCCAACTTGAAGCCCAAACAAAATTAGGTTTCTCATATAAAATGACAATAGGTTTAAGTTTTTTTTACTAAAACCATTAAGGACTTAATCCATTAAGTCCATCACTCCACTAGGCCAAACATATAAAGAGTTGGCATAAGTCATAACTTCAATCCACTGGTCCAAACGTGGTCCCGACCAAAACTAACATCTTCCAAAATTTGGGTTTTCTAAACCCTAATTTAGGGTTTCTAACTCAAGTACATGCCAATTAGTCAAACGGTTAGGCTTTCAGGTCAATTAGGGTTTCATTAGGTCGAGTACCACCCACTACTACCTCACAGTGGTGACGATGGGTTTTTCCTGGATTAATCCATCCAAACCAATACATACAGCATTACACTCATAGAATACACTCATAGACACCAACACACACACACACACACAACCACCACCACACGGTGGCTAGTGGTGGCAGAATAGAAAATGGTGACGACAACCACCATGGTTGGCAGCCATGGTGGTTTTCCAAGGATTTAGGCCAATGAGCACACCCACAGTCATACATAAATACCGAAACATGCATATACTCAAGATGAACATGGAAAACACACCCCAATAGAAATCTTGTGGCGGCAGGCAGTGGTTTGCGATGATAGCCACCACCATACGGTGGTGGAGATGGTTTCTCTTGATCTCCTGCCCAACAAACACGTCAACATACTCACCCACTTTGCGAGTCCACATATACAACCACCATTTCACGGTGGCATGCGGCGGACGGAGGATGTCAGTGAACGGCAGCGATGATATAACCATCGGAAGAGATATGGAGAAAAAAGGTGGTGGGAAACCCATTGAGTACAGCAGTAGCATCAACGGAGAGAGATGCTTGCTTGTGATCCTCGTCGGTGGCTCCTGACGATGGCATGGATGTCGACTAAGGATTGGTGGTTGTTCGGAGCTTTGTCTGGTCGGAAAACGAGGGGGGATCGGGTGGCGGCGGTTGGAATATTTACGCATGTTGGCTAACTTAGCTTAGGATTAGGGTTTGTTCGATGATACACCTTCAACCAAGAATGGAAGGCACGCGTTTAAGTCCTATGACTCCATTCAAACTAGTAAATGAAATTGACAGATCCGGTTCCTCCCATTCACAATCTTTTCAATTTAAATCTAAAATTTAACCTTTAGCCCCTGCTCCTATAAATCCTTTAATAAAAAGTCCAACAATTAAAAGTCCAACAATTACTAATCATACCCTGACTTCTAAAATCTTTACAAAATAAATCCTGAAATTACACTTTAACTCCCAAAAACCCAAATTATATCATTTAACTCCCCAAAACCAACACCCCACTAAATACTATGGATTTTAGGGCTACCATTCATTTATTAATTTTTATCTATTTAATTTTTTTTAATAAATGGGATGTTACACTAGTGGTCGGTACTAATTATGTATTTATTTCTACTTTGGCAGGCCGGGTTCGGTTGTTGGCCTGGTGTTGTGTGAGCGGACGCCCCATAAGTGTTGTTGTTATAAAGTGTTGTTGCTTTATAATAATTGGGCTTAAGTAGTTTTTGCTTTTCCAGTTTACTGAGCCCAGTTAATGCCACTTACTTTACTCACATTGTTAGGACTTCTCGTAGGCCTATTGGCACTTGAGCCCCGTTTTCGTAGCAGTTGTCTTCCTGCTTATCACTTCATTAATGTATGTCACATTTTTGACACTTTTGACATTTTATTCTTCTTTTTTTCCATATTCTCTTTGTCATTTCTTCTTCTCGAATCCTCGTACATTTTGAAAAAGAATGTCTCGTTCAGTGATGCACGCCATTCATTCTTCCATCAGGCGTGAGCGTCTGTACCAGGTTTCTGCATAGTACCTTCTTTTTGATGTGTATGGTGCCAGTCTTCCTGCTCCTAATGAAGTTATCGATCTCCCTCCATTAGGTAAGGTTGGTTTGTATCTTTACTACTTCGAAGCCGTTCTTCGTCTGCCTCCTTCGTCGTTCTTTGGCTCGATTATTGAAGCGTACAAGATTCATACTTTTCAGCTAAAACCTTATTCTATTTGAAACATTACCTACTTTGAACTGCTATGCCAAACCTATTTATTTGTTCCTACTGTTACTTTGTTTCGGTACTTTTTCTGTATTTATAGTAATGGGGTTTGGTATTATCTTCGATCAAGGGGAAAAAGTTTTATCGAGGGTCTCTTTGATTCCATAAAAATTTGGAAAAATGAATTTATCTGGTGGAATGCTTCTTGCTTCCCTTATCAAAACTACTTTCACCTTCCTGGAACAATTGATGACCAAAAAAGTAAGAGGACTAGTGACTTGGGCCAAGATATAGATAAGATTTCTCGTTTGAATGTGATGATGAAGAAATTACGTGAAGTCGTATTGAGGCAAGTCGACATGAGTCTATATTGGTTGCGTCTTGGTGTTGTTCCTACTTTAATCATCCATGGTTCGGGTATGTGTTTTTACAAGATGTTGTTAACTCTTTATTTAATTGTGTGCATTGATCCTATGTTTGTTTCATGCATATGAAAGTTGGTTTCCATTTCTGTTGTCTGATTTGTTGAGGGTAAGGTTGTAGCGTGAGATCTTGGTTCTGACAATTTTGAGCTCTCGATTATCGATGATAGCTTTAATTATAGTGGTAATAATGATAGTAACATCCAAAATGATGAAAAGGAGGATTCAGAGTCCTCGATTAAAGTTCATCACTCTTATGATGATACAAACGATCTTCATACTGCCCATGTTTCTACTGATCATATGACTTTTTCTGACGATGGCGATGATGATGGGAGTGGTGAATGATCTTTAGTCCATTGTAAAAGAGGCAGAGACTATGTTGCTTTGGTTGCCCTAGTGGATGTTTTGGCTGTTGGTGAGGGTAGTAGTGGTAGGGTTCCCGAGAGGTCTCGTTCTCGAGATCCTAATGCTTTCCATGATTTTGCTAACATCCTTAGTGCAAGTTTTCCTTTTTTGTGCATCATTGAATTGAATATGAACAATCCTCCTCGTGATGCCAGTGTTCCTCACCCATATGGTCTTATTTATGTTCCAGCTTGGGAGTATAGGCAGGAGCAAAGTTAATGGAACCAAAAGGTTGGCATTTCTTTCTTTGAAAGCTTTGCTTGTCCAGGAGCTGATCAAGTGTCATCCAAGGTCGTAGGGAACATATTTGGGATATGTATAAAATTAAACTTTTTGAAAACATGGCTCTAGGTCTAGAGGTTATCTCGTGGATTGATGAAAATGATGCGTTACATCTAGAGTGTTATGGCCTTAGTGATAAGTTTAAAAAGATAATTGATCCTGTCAAATCGTTTGTGGTTTTGTCCGGTGGTAATTCCCATAATGTGTAATTGTTTCACAATCAGTATGTAAAGCTTGTGGACAAGTTTTTTGAGTTAGATAAAGTCTCTACGAATATGGAAATGGTTCTCCAAGTCGAGATGGAGAAAGTGAGGAACGGGCTGTCCATTGTATAAAGTGAGGAAGTTGTCCTGGAAAGTAAGTTAGATGGTTATGAGGATGTTTTTGAGGCGATTTCAACACTAAAGGCTACAGTAGCATCTCTTGAGTTGCAGAAGATTGATATGTTGGACAAGATAGCCATGCTGGAGCATGCTGTTCGGAAGTTGAAAAGAGACTTGAGTGACTCCTCCCTCCGGAACATAGATTTGCAGGTGTGTGTGGTAGGGCAAAAGAATTAGTTGAAAAAGGTGAATGGGGATGTATCTTGGGTATTATATCATGATATCTCGAAGCTGGTGGACAAACTTATCACCAAGTCTTATTGAAACATGAAGAGACCCTCGACAACTTAAAGATGTATTAAAATACCGAATACCTGTTTTGTTTGTTGCTGTAGAAAATTTTTGTTGAAGCATCAAATACGAAGACTTTGAAGATCATATTGAAGACTTAGGATACCGGAGTGAAGGATGTTGAACCGAAGAAGAGAGTTTTTTGGATTTTGTATACCAAAGTGTTAGAAAAGTAATATTCACCTTTTATGACATTGTAAGTTAGATGAGTTATGTCAGTCCAAGCGTGGAAAGCATGGCCACATGACTTTGGAGTATTTTATTATTTATCATGTACTAGGTTTTTCTATAAATAGATGATCATGTTGATCGATCTAAGAGCATCACTTCTAGACTTCCTTTGTATTACTCTTTATTGAATACAAGTCTTCATTATCTTCATTCTCTCTTGCTTATGTTGTTCATCATTTACTAACTTGCATTTGAATGCAAACCTTGTTATGATTCAACAAAGTATTATTACTTGCTTATGATTACTGATTAAATTTGATGCTATATATATATATATATATATATATATATATATATATATACACACACACACACACACACACACATTAAACTTGATGCTATATATATATATATATATATATATATCATTCCGAATATTTATTTCTTATTGAGCTTATCAAAAGACCTATTGAGATTAAGTTACATTTCCGCAAATCAATCATAAACTTTTTCTCTCAACATCATGGTATCTTGAAGCTGGTGGAAAAATTTACCATCGAGTTATGCTAATTGTGATCTTTAATACATTAGTGTTTATTTTAGCAGGAGAGTTGGTTGCGATATGATGAATGTACATCATAATATGGGTTTGAATGAGACTCTCATTTCATTGTATGATCCTACACGTGTGTAGAAGATGGAGGAAGCATTTTCTGCTTTGTTCTATGTTGATTACTTGCTTGAATTTGGTTTCCCTTTAATAGATGTTGGGCAATGCGTGTATTGGTGGGTCGTCCTGGTGACGGTGATGACTTTACTAGCAATCATGTTGGTGGTGCCAGTATTGAGTTGTGTTGCGTTGTTTCTTCGTGAAATGTGCCATGAATATGATGGTTTAGTTGTTATCATTTTTCAGATGCCTATTACTGGGTTATTTAGGTCTTGTTGTAACTTGGACATTGGTCTTTCTCGTCATTAGATTGCTCTATGTTGGGCATGCTGTTGGTAATGACTTTTTATATGTATTTACACTTGGGGTGATGGAATGGTTGTGATTGGATCATATGGATGTGTGTGCTGCTGTTTAAGTTTCCAATATCTTGCACTGGTTGAATATATGATAGTCATTTATTTGCGTGCTAGGATTATATATTTTTTCTCGTGGTTTGTTCCTTGGATTTTGTGGTTCTGGGGTGGTTTCTTTGTAAGTCTTTGTAAGCATTTTCTGCCATTTGACGTTGTTTACTTGGCCCCTGGTGTTCTTTTGATTGGACATATATCTTATTTTAAGGTTTCAAAGTTTTGATTCTTGTAAAGGTTGTGACCGTACCGCAGAGCGGCATAGTTTATGACGAAAATGGGTTCTTTGGGGTAAGTGGGTAGCTTGGATCCGAGTTTTGAACTTCGCCCTTTGGAGATTTGTAGTCGACTGACCGAGCTACAATGTTTATAAAGAATAAAGATATTCTTGGGCTAAGTGGGTAGCCTACGTCAGAGTGTTGAACTATGACATTTGGAAAAGTGTAGTTGGTTGACCGAGCTTCAAAGTTTATAAAAAATAAAGATATTCTTGGGCTAAGCAAGTAGCCTAGGTCGGAGTGTTAAACCGAAACCTTTGGAAATTTGTAGTCGGCTAACCAAGCTACAAAGTTTATAAAGAATAAATGTATTTTTGGGCTAAGCATGTAGCCTAGATTGGAGTGTTGAGCTGCGACCTATGGAAAATTGTAGTTGGTTGACCTTTACAAAGTTGTAGCCCACTGGTTGAGCTAAAAAGTTTATAAAGAATAAAGATATTCTTGGGCTACCATTGTTGCCTTCATTTTCATTTATTATGAAATAACGGAAATGACCTTGGAATTTTTTCCTACAAGATGCTTTTGGTGGGTTGATGCCATTTAACTGCAATCGGCACGTCTGTCGCATGCACTGTTACTTTCTTCTGCAGCCAATTATGGGAGTTGTTGCTTCCCTTCACATTTGTTTTAGCTTTCTTGACTCCCCATGTTGGTATCTCTGTTAGCGATCACTTTCTTCCGTTATCTCCTATCAGGGATTGAACTTCTGTTCTCTGTCTTAAATTATATAAGTCGGTTATTCATTTTGTCACTTTTCCTTTCGAACGACTCCCTTTCTTTCTAGCGGTACTACCTTTCCTGTCTCGTCCTTTCCCTCTTTATACACCAAGCATCTCCTCCTGTACTTTTTTATATGTGGCTCTTATTCATCTCCTTGTTTCGTATCGAATTCCCACTACTTCTTCTTGTTGCCTTGTTGATCCCTGCTTAGATTCTGGTGTCGTGGCCGACATGATGCTTGTTGTCCATTTATGTCTTTTAATGATTACCGATGTGCTGCCTTCAGTGATGTTCCACGATGCTCTATTTGCTAATACTTGTAATGCTTGTTTGAAGCATTCATTATCTTCTGCTTATTCATCTGATGGCTCTTGGTTGTTGCATGGTATTTTTAGGGTGGTACTCTTTCCGCCTCTTTCCTTCATTATTTGGTTATCCTTGTAGATTTTGAATCGAATCGGGTTGTTATTTGTGTTATGCTCATCGTCAGGTTTTCTTCCTTCTCCCATCCTTCTTTTTGTGTATACTGTTCCAACCCCTGACTTCGTCTGAAATTTGATGACTCCATGAACTGTTGACGCAATGTCCTTGAACCTATGCATTGCTGATCATCCAAAGATGATGTTGTATGGTGAAGGTGCGTTGATGATGACAAACCATATTATTTTAGTACTCTTTTACCTATTTGGATAATTTATAAGAGTTAGTGACAGTGAGATTATCCCCTCTGGGCATATGTTGTGGCCGATGAAGCTTACTAGGTGATTCTCCGACGGACTTGCTTTTGCACGTACATATCTGGGTAGCTGCTTGAAAAAGTGCTTGTACATGACATCTGTAAAACTTCCACTGTCAACATATATATCACTTGTGTGGTTTTATCCTATGAGGCTGCTGATTATGATTGGTTCGTATCCTCTATGGTGGTCGTGACTATAGTCTCACTCTTCGAACGTGAAGGTGCAATTTTTCCACTATGTGGTCAACTCTTGCCGGTCGATATGTTGCAGCGTGAAGATTTCACTTTTTCTTGCATTCGGTATTTTTGGTTCTACCGGTACAATACTTTCCAGGTGCTTAGATCAGAGGCCTTTGATCAAGTCGATAAGTTGTCCTGATTGCATCTGGTTTTCCAACTCTTGTCGCAACATAGTGCATTCAACGGGGGCATCCCTATAGATTCATGGAATTCACAATATTACCCTTGATCTTTGGTTTTCGTCTTTTCCCCATTCTTACCTAGTGTGTTCCTTTTGCTTTCACTTACAGCAATGACTTCATTCTGAGGACCATGCTAGCTTGATGGAATATTACGATTATGCTATGGGAAACAGTGGAAGCAATTTTTTCTTGTGGTTTAGGGTTTTACATCTCGGATATGTTTCCTATGGCATAAGGTATTTGGGGTGCTCTTTCTCCATGATCAATTTTTATCTTCTCACATGTTGCTTCCTCTTGCTTCATGTACTATTTTTTTCTAATTTTTTAAGCAAGGTTCTTGGTCGTAAACAATATCTTCTCGGATGTTTCTTCCTCTTGCTTCATGTTATGGGAACCCTTTCCATAATTTCTTTCCTGGAAGATGATTGTTTCCCTACTAATTTTTTAGGCAAGGTTCCTGGTCGTAAACAAGATATCAAAAGTAGTTATTACCATGTTATCTAATTTATATGGGGTGTTGAGTGTGGCTTTGTTAAATCATTGTACAAAAGCACTTATAGATTCATCTTCCTAGTGTTTGCACTCCATGATAGCTTGTGAATCTATCGTGTACCTCCTTTGTTGTATAAAGTGGTCGATGAATTCTTATTGTAATTTATTGAAATCACGTATGCTTTTTGCCGGCAAGCTTTTATACCATAACCATGCTTCTCTCGATAGGGTGGTAGGGAAGAATATACATCTATATTTTTCATCAAGGTAATAACAGTCCATCGTCCACTTACAATTTTCTAGGTGATCGTCGGGATCACCCATCCATTGTATCTTGTCATTTCTGGTATATTTGCTCTGGCTGGTATTTGACAATCCCTTATGCTTCTTACTAGTGGAGAGTTGTCTGATCATAAGACTTATATGTTAGTGGTGTCGTTGTTTTTATGGCGCACATGGTGTATGGTTGGCGGTTGTTGAGACGTGGGTTTTCCCTATCGGGAAAGTTGTAGGGTGTACACTTGTTGGTATAGAGGCGACCAATATGCTTGATAGTGTGTTAATGGGAAAGGTGGAGGTAATCGCATGTATGGTTGTGCATTTTGATTAGTTATTAGGCTGCCTGCTAGGTACTGCTACAACAAAGGTGGCAACGTTTGCATCGTGGCTTCCTTGTTTTTTGTTGTAAGTTTGGTTGGTTCTCTAGGCACACTTCCTCCTAATATGATTGAACAACTAACTGTTTCCATCACCACTGAGTTTTCCTGCCTAGCATTCTTAGCTCGCCCTGCTCTTCGTTCGCTGGCCTCCACCTCATGCGGTGCCTTTGGCTGGGTTGAAGGTGTGTTGCGAATTTGTGATTTTGTGGCCTGATTTGTCGATGTGGTAAGCGTGAAGGAGGGGATTAAGTTGATTTGGATAAATGGTATTTTATTGGTTGGACATGATGATTGTGTTTTTCTTGCATGGTTATATACAGTGTTAATGTTGCTATGTGGCAACCCGGATGCTTATGGCTATCTCCCTCAGGGACTTTTCTAATGAGAAATCAAGGTAATATATTATTTTATGTGACAAATATAGGTAAGAAATCTATACGGAGGGCGGACCCCGATATTTCACTATGATGCCTATATTACAAGTCATATTTGGAGAATAGATCTTAAATGTATCAAAATTGTGAAGGTTTTCTAGGCCTTACCTTTCTAGTTAGGTGAAAGCCTATTTTTATAGCTAAGGTTTATACCTATTCTTGGTTTCTCCTTCTTGGTTTTGCGTTAGTCTTTAGGTCATAAGGGTAAAACCCTTTTTTTTAACATAGTCTTGCCTTACCTGTGTTTTCCTGTAGATGCATCATAAGATGTCTAAGGTGATAGGGTGATTCTTGCCCTAGTGCGGTACTACTTATGTATTTGTGTCTACGCTGGCAGGCCAAGTTCGTTGGCTGGCCTGGTTTTAGATGGGCGGACGCCCATAGCCCATTAATTGACTCTTTCTAATGAGTATTCATGAAGATACAATGCAAAAGATAAACAACTGCTAGGGTAGAAAGCTACACCAAGGGTTAGACCTCCAGTGCAATATAGGATAAATGTTGTCGATTTAAGTGAATCCATAAGGTGTTGTTGTCATCGATGACTAAGAGTTAATAATATTTTACATGTGGCTGGAAACATTTTTCCTGTAAAATTCAATGATGGCATAGAAATCAGGCTTCCGTGGACTCAAGGGTTAAGATTTTTAATTTTAAGAAAATTCTAATGTACTATCGATTCTATAAAACCTACAATAAAACACCAATATTCTATGTGAGACTAACTTTAGAAAACAAAAATTGAATTAAGTATGAGAGAAATGTTAGTTAAATAAATAAGACCAACATATCATTATTGGTGTCACTAGTTCTACAAAAAGTTCTTGGTTCTGGTTGTTTTTCTGTGCCATAACAACATCTCACTGATTCCCAAAGATCTCGGGATAATCCTACAAGGGTTTTCTAGGTTAAGTTAGAGTTCCAAAGGGATTAAATGTATCAAATCCTCATGAATATTATCAAACAACTTGTTGTAGAGTAGGTATTTCTACATATAGGGCTTAAACTAAAGTTGAATGAGTAACTAAGTAAATAAAAATAGGTAGGAAGTAAGAGATGTCGAGAGTAGAAAGATTATTGAGAATTGGAGATTATCAGTATCAGAGTAGTTAGAATATATCATGGGAATACAAATATTATATACATGTTGTGTTT